TCCCCCTGCTTTCTTGGAGCTGCGTAACCTCTGCCCTGCCGATGGGAAGCAGTGAATGAATTCCTTGTTTTGCTTTGCTTGCGCGCGGCTTTTGCTTTCCCTATTAAACTGTCTTTATCTCAACCCACGAGTTTTCTCACTTTTACCCTTCTGGTTCTCTCCCCCATCGCACGGCGGGGGGAATGAGCGAGAGGCTGGGTAGGGCTTAGTTGCTGGCTGGGGTTAAACCATGACAGTACCCTAATTATAACTCTTGAGTTATCTCTAAAAGATGTACATTTTAAAAGGTGCATTTTCATACTGACCAAGAAACTAAGCTGCAATTTTGTATAGGTCACCAGATTGCAAATATGATTAAATCAGCATATTGGCTAACACTTATTGCCACTGGAATGAAAAAAACACCTCAGTTTCTTCTGGTTTTGTTTACTAACTGAAATATTTAAAGATTAAAAAGAAAAATGCCTTGCAAAACCAGAAAGGTGAACAAGTACCACTGAGGCAATAAATGCTCAGGTATATTTAATACAAACTCCCTTGTCTCCATGTTACCTATGGACTTGGAGACACACAGATTAAATAACATGAGCTGCTCAGAGATGCCACTGGCTCTCATTATAATAAGGGATATGAATGCATGCATCAAGATAAATGACACCAGTAATCCAGGACTCCTCTTAACACCAAAAGAAAAAAAATCTCTAATAATAACTAGCACCTTCTCTTACCACAATACAGAAGTCAGTTGAATTGGATGATAAAAATGCTTTGTAGCCAGCGTCATATAATTTTTAATAATTCTGCAGATATATCACAAAGACAAAACCACATTGGGTAATACAGATTTTTCCAAAAGCCTTGAGATAAGCCCCCTTCCCCAGTATTGAACACACTGTAGCTGTAGCTTCTTCTATTCTAGAATGACATGTGCGCAAGAAGTTTTCAGATGGGTATAAAAAGTACTCAACACTGACGGTGTAGCACAGTTTCTTAAACAGAAACATCATCTCTTCTGAAAGACAACTGTTACCAAAATACCTCAGAACGCCTGAAATGGGGATGGGATGGGAGAGCCCTTGTCCACTCAGCATCTGTAACAAGTTCTTGCTTTTTCTTTTTTACTTTACTTTATGACACGTTACATAATTCTATAGCAACACCTCATTTCCAGTGGTTGATACCCAAATATAGGATAAAGGAAAAAAAGAAATTACAAGAGGAGAGTTGAAAACCACAGTTTTAGAACACAATGGCCGTAACTGATCACATGAAGAGTCCATCTGCCTGGTGTTCTGTCTCCAATGTAGTCATAAGCAGATGTTCAGGAAGGTAGAAAGCCTGAATGTTACTCCTCCCCTCAGACTCTGTCAGACTGAGATCTTCATATCAAGAAATTTACTGCGTCTGCTGTTGCTTGTGTATTAAATAAACCCAAACAGAGGCCTCTCCCAAGTATCTCTCCAATCTCCCCCCAAACCAATACAAACTTCCTCAGTATCATTTGATAAAGTGCTTGGCAGGATTACTACCTATTGTACAAAAAATAGCTCCTTCTCATTTATTTCGAACCTTTGCTGTTAGAAACCTCACTTCATTGGCTCTGTTTTTTTTATACTGGAGGAGACAATGAGAAGTCACTCCCTATCCTCCTCCTTCAAACTGTCGGGGAGACCTTCTCCTGTAAATAATGCTGCAAAATCGTCTCACATTCACAGTATCTCTGGTATTCAAATAACCAGATTAGACATTTTATGGGCGAAAATGTGCAAAAATGATGTCTGTAAGCAAGAGGTAGGTGTGTTTAGCAATCGGGGTAAGTACATACAAGCATCTGAATAAAACAGAACTGTATTGCATTTTAGTCAACGGTAACAAACTTTGTTTCCCTAAAGTCTAACCCACCACCACAACCACGTATGTCCCAAGGTTTGTCTGCAGAGACAAGAAAAACTGCTTAGAGGAGTGATTCCAAGATTTGGCACTATTTCTGCATTGTTTTAATGTTCCTGACAAGTGCTCCATTGTTTTTTAGCCATGTACACACTTCACTTCAGTAATTAGCTGTCAGAGCAGGCCCAACAGCAACTTAGTATTGTCTGCTCAAATCATATTAATGAAATGCAATCCACTCAAATGTCCTGAATGCATATCTGTAATTGCGTTAAATAGAGAGGCTGGGGACATCAGCAAACTTCAGCTTCTGAACAGGGCATTATGATCAAGCGCGTTAATCTATTATTTCTTAGGGATTTGACAACCAATTAATATTACAGGGCTTCCTATATAGCAATAAGGACTGACAAGCCAACATTATTTTAATTTTTTTTTTTTTTTAAGCATAAGAAGTGACTTTTCAGACTCTGGGATATGAAAGTAAAAGCTGCACATAACATTTGTGAGTACAACACCCCTAAAGGCAGAAAAGCAAGAACTGCAGGTTGCAGCATTGCAAAAGTAGTTATTTTATTTAAAGATTCAGCATCTGTATGTTGAAACCTAAATGTAGAATACTCAGTGTATGCACTACACTGAGCATAAGTAAAATTAAATAAAACCCAAGATCCTTATCAAATATATAAGTTTTTAAGACTTTTAAGTGATATAAGACTATTAGAATCAATGTTCCCAAAGAATACAAAATGCAATTGATTACTTCTGGCTGTAAACTGATACTTGTCAGTCAAGTCTATACCATTTTCTCCATTTTCTGTTTCATGCTCTCCGTCACCAAAGACTTCTCCAAAGAACAGAATTTGGACAAGATGAAAAACAATAAAAACACATAAGGGAAATATCCTGTGGGTATAATAGTCTTTGGAAAACTTTCATGTCAGTTATGACTGCAAAATTGCTATTAAAATTTAATTAAAATTGAGCACAATAAGCTATGACAAGATAATGGATGGGAAACGTAGCTTTAGGGCAGAGTGAGGATATCCAGAACTCTGGCTAGATGCGATGCTTTATTTTTGGTTATGTTTGGCAACTATTCTTGAGATTTCTGAAACACATCTTAATTATAATGATGTACAGAAATTCACAGAAGAGAAAAGAACAGCACTGCATTTCAGTTATCTCAAGACCTGTAACGTGTCAAATAAGTAAGAGATTTTTAGGGCTTCAGAAACATCTAGTCCTTAATTTCATTCATATTCACACCCACACCAAAGAACACTTTTTTCAGCTAAAAAGCCCCTGCAAGTCCCTCCCAAACCATTAAGTATTTTGTTACTTATCTGCAAATAAAATTAATTTATTTCCTCACACAGGTAGAAATTCTTTGAATATCATTTACTCCATAGTTGAAGGTAACAATCAAATATGGCATCACACAGACCTGAAGCAAAAGTAGTCAAAAGCCTTGGGAATGACTTCGACCTAGGGAAGTCAATAGCCTTTTATTGGAGACAGCTTCTTTGCTCTTGCTGGAATCTCATTTTAAGAGAGCTGGAATGCAATTTATTCAACATGTAAAGGAGAACGCATGATTAAGCGACATTTGGAAGAGGACAGATATTCCAAACATTAGCTTAAAATCCCCAAATGAGGGGATGCAACATATGTATGTTTTTAAAATTTTGATCAAGAAGTCCTCCCTATTAATTGGAAAGCCACTGCTCCAAAACAGTATGTGTTTCATTTCATAGATATGTTTGGGGAAAATATTTACATACCTGTTACGACTAAAAATTATTTACCTTAAGCACAAACTTCCTTGATTAGATTCAGCTTCTGTAACAAGTAATTCAAAAGAACCCACCACTTTCTGAATAATGCTGGTTAGGTGCTTTTAATTACAGTTACTCCACTGACAAAGTATAAACACCACAGCCAAACAGCATTATTCACTATCATTCAATAGAGACTGTAACTCATTTAATATGATTTTATTACCAGAGACACAGCAGCCATTTAACATTTTCTAAATTTTAGGCAAGGAACTAAGGTAAGCGACAGCATTCCCATTCTTTGGCTGCCTTCAAGTGTTAAGTATAAAATGTTCTTGAATGTAAGAAGAAAGCATCTTTAGATAAAAGTGTTCTTTATTTTTCATATATTCTTCATGGAGAATATGTAATAAATTATTAGTTGACAAATGGGGGATGAACTTTACCTATACAAGTACAGACGGATCCTGAAGAAAGGCAAACTAATCACATTCGTAATCCTTACAAATTGCTTTCATTTTCACCATTAATCCTCTCTAAGAAAAAATGTTCTACAGATACAGATTTTAACTGCTGCTTGGAGAGCTTCAACCAAAAATAATTCTTTGATATATCTTCCTTTTCACTGAACAGCAGGAGTAAGCAATGTACATATATCATTTACAGCTTTTAAAGTGCATTCAGAGCAAAACCATGCCATCTTCATTTCCATATTACTTTTAAGAATCTAGTGTAAGTTACTATCTCTGAGTAATACTTACTGCCAAATAGGATGCTTGAAGAGAGTAACGTCAATAACAAGTATTACACTTTTAGAATGAACAG